AGGGGACAGCAGGCACAGCCACCTGTGAGGTCCACGGTGGCCAATGTCACTACAGAGCTGCTGATCTGACACAGATCCAGCCTTGGATCCGAGTTCACCACGACAGCAATGAGAGTGCGGGCGTGATGGGATCGCACTTGTTCATCCTCAGACCCTGGTGTGCAGAGAGCTGTCACCATCCCTTCGGTCAGGAGCCAGGACAGGGAGAGGGGACAGGCAGGGAGTCAGTGCAGAGGCAGTCAGAGGCTCTGTGCTGCTGTGCTGACCTCCTGAGCCCCAGAGCCAGAGCCCCACACCCTCCCTGCTCATCCCCGAGGCTGTGCAAGGGCCTGGTGCAGCCCCAGCCGGGCAGCAGCTCTCAGCAGCACCACGAGCCCCACTCCCTGCTGAGCCCGTGCCCCCCACGCACCCATCGCAGCAGCAATCCCTGCCAGGCCCTGACAGCTCCCTAAAGCTGCTGCACTATTTTTACCCCACRGTTGCTATAGAGACATCAGAGCCGCTCCCCGTGATGATGCAGCTGCTTTTGGGTGATGCAGTCTCTTCCAGAAGCACTACATCACCCACTGCATCATCACCCATTGTGTCACCCACTGTTATCACCTGCTGCATCATCACCCACGGCATCACCCACCGCATCATCACCCACTCCAGGTCTCCTTGGACACCCTGTCTGGTCCCAGAGAGCTCTGCCAGCTCCCTGTACCCTTGGCAAAGCCACAGGATGTGCGGCCACACAGCCACCTGCTGCATCCATCACTCCCAGTGCCCCACGCTGGCTCAGCTGCTGCTTCCCCCGCCTGGCCGGGGTGCCGCTGTGCTGGGCAATGTCCCGCTGTGGCCAGCTCAGCCGTCCAGCCAAAGCCAGGGAGCAGAGGGGACACGGAGCAATAGCATGTAGCACTCCGTGGCCACAGGAGGCAGCAGTGGCAGGGCTATCACTAACACTATGGAATTTAGCTGATTWAACTCCAGCACACCCATTTTTCCAGCAGGACAAATCAGGCTCCCAGTTAAAGCRGGTGCAAACCTGACCCAGGCTCCAGCTTGGCTCAGGGCTGAGGGGAAAAGGAGGTGCTGTGAGCATGGCTGGACCCTCTCCTCCATGGAACCCCAGGAGGGGCATGGCTGGGGCTGAACTCTGGTGGGCTGGGACCCGCTGTGCCCAGGGCAGCCCCACTGTGCCCACTGTGTCCCACAGGYCGAGGGACCTCTGCTGTGCCCCAGGTAGCAGCATCATCAGGAGCAGAGCCAGTGGTCCCCCCAGAATGCTGAGCTCCCCCATGGCCACGCTCAGCCCCCCAGAGTGCRGCTGTAAAGGGTCAAACGGCAGCAGGGATGAGCTGGCAGGAGTGGCTCATGCAGCCCTTGGCAAAGCACCCAAAATAGAACCTGCCAGCCCTGGGTGCCTCCAGGGAGATGGGGCTGGTTCATCCCTTGGTGAGGCTGCACTGGTGTCCCACGAGAGCCACGGGGGCCCAAAGGTGCCCCAGCTTTGGGACAAGCCCCTTCCCCAGGAGACAGACCCCACTCGGCTCAGCTGGAGGCTGCAGCTCCTCCAGGACTGAGTGAACACCAAGCCAATGGCCCCTCACCATCCTGGCCCTGATGTCACAATCTCAGCCCCCCAAGGCATCAGTGCAGCCCCCTCAAATGCCCTGAGGACCACACCCCACACAGACGAGACAGCCCCATTACCGGACCAGAGAGCCTCATGCGGGCTGGAATGGGCTCTAACCAGAAACTCTGCAGGCTCTGATAAAGGGGTGACAGCTGCCTGGATGCTCWTCTAGGTAGGACGGTGCTGGGGTGACCCACAAAGCACTCAGCATCTCTGATGTTCCCTTCAGTGGCACAGTTCCATCACCGCTCTCTGTCCTGCCAGGAGAAAGAAGCCCCCTTCCCAGGTGAGCATTCTGGGTACCAGTACCACCCATGCCACAGGGTATTGGTATCACCAGCAGCACCTCCAGCCACTGCCCAGGCCTCCACACCTTGTCAGGGCTGTTCCATGGGGGCAGAGCACCCTGTGGTGGCACCCAGCCACCTAAAGCCACCTCGTCYCAGTCTTGTCCCCCAGTGATCATGTCTGGACCCCATCCTGCTGCCCCCAGAGCTGCATGGGCACTGCTGAGATCAAGCCCACGGCTCGGAGCTCTGCACAGAGCTGCAGCTTCTCCAGCAGCCATCCCTGCGGCCCCGTTGCCATGGCATCCTCAGGGATGGCAGAGATACCAGCAAGGAAGAGAAGGAGGATGAAGATAGGTGGACACATTGTCTCTGCAAAGCCAGGGCATGGCTGGGGCAGATCTGAGGCCCTCTGGCAGCAGGCAGGGGCCATTCCTGTTCCCCTCCACAGAGGTCCCTGCTCTCAGAACTGGCAGAATGGAGCTGGCATTGCCATGCTCATCCCTCCCTGCTGGGGCATCTCCCACCCCATGAACTCCTGGAAGCTGGTGAGTCCAGACTGGTGGAACAGGAAAGGAGACTCTCAGGTTTTAACATCTTCAAGGACAGGTCTTTCCTGCTTCCCAGCCAGGACCAGCCAGCCTGGGCTGCAGCACAGCGGTGACAATTCTTAGGAGCAGCAAGGGGGGCAGAGGAGGAAGGGGCACTTATAAATGGGGGTGTCTGCTCCCCAGCCCTTACTTCCAACATTCTCCTAATTGCAACCACCAGGGACCCAGGACCTTCTCTCTCTCCCCACAATCACCTCCTCTCTCCTTGTCATCATCCTTGACCCATCCCGGGGTGCCCTGGGAGCAGAGCAGACTCCCCTCGACTGGGGGAAGGGATGGCTTTCTCTGGCGCCRGAGCAGCACTCCCATTTCCAGCCAGCCTGGGGTCCTCCTGCCACCACAGCTTGTCTGTTCTAATTTGTAGGTTTCGGGAGTTTATTAAGACATTTATTTTGTTAAGGTGTTTACATTATTTTGCTTTTAGGAGTTAAGGTGTTTATTTTCTACAAGTAAACTGGGGTGCTCGTGCATGAAAAAATTGACAAATAAACACATTTTGGGGGGAGGGTTGTTTATGGTCAGTTTAGGCAGGTACTGCAGAGCGTCTGTGTTACCAAGTCAGGAGGAACCTGCCATAAGGTTTGCCAAATGCTCCCTGATGTAATAAGACCGACTTAATTTCTCTGCTGGCTCTGATTCTCATTGCCATCATCATCTCTGAATGAAGAGCGCTGCAATATTAGATTATATTTTGTTAATCGCAAGAGAAATTTCCSCAAGTGTTAATGCAGTCCAGAGGGTGTAATGACAAACATCCTCACAGCCGCGATGGTCTGCAGAAGTACTGAACCATGGGGGTTAGGGTGGTGGTCAGAGGCATCTGTGACCATTTCTCCTTCCTCCCAATTCCCTCTTTCTGCTAGGACTGCTCTAACAGAGCCACTGAGGAAGGCAGACGAAGCTGCCGGGAAGCAGATTCTTACCCAAATGCAAGATCTGGAGACAAGGGAGGGCAGAGGGGCAGCACACTGCTGCTGCTCCAGGTACATTGCCCTGGCACCGAGGGCAGCTGTGCCCAGGGAGCAGGCACAGGGACCTCAGCTTCTCCTGCGGTCCAGGTGTGCCCTCAGGCTCTCCCAGACGTGCGTTCAAGCCACGGAGTCATTACATCAGAGGGGGCTCAGGGGGCTCTAATCCCCCCTGCTGCGAGTGGGGACAGCTGTGGGCTCAGCCCAGTTTGGGGTCTGGAGAGCCCCAGGAGCAGGGACACCAACACCCCACCCCCGCACACGGACACCCCCGCACAGGTGGGCGCAGACACTCTCCCCTCACACCCCCACGGTCCTCTCGCACACAGACGCCTTCCCCCGCGCCCTGCAGCAGGGACACAGACCCCTCCAGCCCCCCAGCACACGGACACCCCCGCCCCGCCGCTCCCCGCACCCACCCGCGGGCGGACGCGCCGCCCCCCCGCGCCCTCCTCCTCGCGCAGCGCCGGGCAGCGGCACCGGGCACCGGCACCGAGCACCGGGCACCGGCACCAACGATCGGCACCGGCACCGCGCACCCAATCGGCACCGGCACCGGCCTCGGCACAGGGCACGGGGCAGCGGGGCCGGCACCGGACAGCGGCACCGGACACCGACACGGGCACCGGGCGGCAGGTAGCGGGCCGGGGGCAGCGGCCGCACCCCACCATCATCACCGCAGCCGGGGGCGGCGGGAGCGGAAGCGGGATGGCCTCGGCGTGGCGGGGCGCGGGGGGACACCGGTGCCGGTGGGAGTGGGGGTGAACCGACGCTCGGGTGTGCCCCCGGGTCCGAGGGGTCCCCACGGGAAAGGGGCATGGGGAGCTCGCGGCAGGGGGCGGTACCGTCGGCGCATTTGGG